AAAATGCATCACGTACGGCGAAGGTTGGCGTCTGATTCCTGATTCCCGGCGCCCCATGCCTGGCAATGTGATTAGGCCCCAGGCACCGAATGCACAAACTTTTCCGGAGGAGTGGAAGCCCGCACAGACACAGTCCGAGAGGGCGGCACTGACAGCACGGCTGTGGCCAAAACTACGGTTGGGCAATAAAAATTTGTCGCCGGTCCAATAAATGTAGGCTAGCGGCTTACCAAGAAGCCCAGCGCGAAAAAACACTAACCAAAAACCATTTCATTGCTGTATTTAAAATGCCGCAAACTTGCAGCAGCACTCTCGCCAAAAAAAAATAGAGAAACACAATGGAAAAACAGGTGAGACAGTTTGGCTGCAGCTTATGCCACGGCACCTGCCCCGGCTACTGTTCCAGTTCTGAGCCCGGCTCCTTCTTCGCCCTCCGCAAACAGATTTGAAGTAATAAAAAATTGAAATTAAAAGTTCCACTTCAGTTGCCCGCTTTCCCGGTCACCGCGAATAGCAATGGCGATGGCGACACAGTTTTCACACGAAATAGGTCGTAAAAATTATGACCGAATCCCTGGTTAAAGGCCACAGGAGCTGCCGCCAGAGATGCTAACCGGAGGACAGATATTCGGTTAAGATTTTAAAGTAACGAAGGGATTTTCTTATCATTAATGTAAATTATAATTCTGAAATTTGGCATAATGACAATGAAGGTATTTCACTTTCCAAATTATTGGTTTACAACTAAAGATAAATGAATGTAAACATTGCTGCAGTGCTTTGATATAAATCTAATTATTAACAACAGACAAGCATTTCATATTATAAATCATAGGTTTATGGTTTAATATTTTTGTAAAAGTATTTAAAATGGTATGTATACTTTAATGAAATAGTCATTCAATTTGCATCTCTGATGTCCGGTCTAAGCTAAAACCTCCTCCTCCTTTTTGTTTTCTCATCCACTCTAGCTGGCCGCTCAATGAGGTCAATGGGCAGGCATTTCATTTCCATAATTTTCATTAGTTCGCGCTTAGAGCAAATCAAACAAATCGTTTATAAGGCAACAAAAGAATTCTTAATTGTTCGGCCTTGATGTCAACTTTTAAATTCGTGTTTTGTGACAGCTCGCGTGTGGTGTGTGGGTGTGCATTTTGATTTTTTTTCCTAATCCAAATTGCTGTGCACACACATTCAGCATATTTCACACATCGTAGCCGACAGAGAGCACATAAGAATAATGTGTGACACGTTCGGGCATAAACCGAATTAAGTATACGCCGCGTTTGCCAGGCAGTCAGCCAGCTAGTAGGACCAGGCCCGGAGTCTGACCCGCAAAACTAACCGCACACATACACATGCCCACACGTAAACACACTTTCGCCAAGTCGCATCTTTATGCGTTGTAGCTGCTCCAAAGTGGCAAGCAAACACGCTTTCGAAAGACAGGCGCCCTTCCCTCCCACTTCCGGTGGCACCACCGCTGTCCGTGCAGCATGTGCTAAATATGTATGAAAAAATAACTAGCTTCAAAATGCTGGAGTTGTTATACTCTCGAAGCGGCATATTGAATGGGAAGGATGTCACCTTTAAATTAAATTATTTTCCCACAATCATAACTTGGACTCCAGTCAGGCAATCGATTCCCTGTTTAATAATAAGGATATTTTTGGGAGCCGGACCAAAGTGCTGGCCCAAATATAGCCACCATTAAATTTAAAATTTATATTGCATGAAGTGGTAAAAACACGCTTCCTTGCTTTGCAAACACCGGACCGAAAATATAAAACCCTCTGCTAGGGTATACAAAAAAACGAAAGAGTGTGGCAGAAAGTTTTTGTGCGCACGCCGTGGAAAGGCCAACGTCTAAGTGAATTTGCCATAGTCAAATTTTGTGCGGCTGGCCCCGGCATTGCCTTAGGTCAGGCATTAAGGACGAACTCTGGGTTGCAGAGTAAGGCATACGGAATATGGAATACGGTCTACGGGACCGGACTGCGGGCTACTGGCTCATTCAGAGCGCCTTGCGTGGAACTGCATGAAATTTGCATTAATTTGCGTGGCCAGCTCATTCAAACAATTTCGGCTCTGCAGCCCACACACACAATAAAATCCCAATCCCGAATTATTAAAAAATTTCAAATAAATCACAAATTTGGCCAACTTGCAGCCGTGCCCACAAGGAGGGGAGGGCAGTTGGACAACAGATGCCGGCGAAAATCGTGAACCGAGTTCAGTGTGTCAATCGACCTCGAGCTCGGTTTTGAAAAGCCGAGTGGTGTTTGCAGAGAAATCTGCTGACAAAAGCGCGGGCATGAGCAGTGACTTGAGTGACTCGCAAAAAACTTAAGAGAATTTGAATCCTGGATTTCGAGTGGGAAACTCTGGGGCGCCATATTTCCAAGGGTGAGAAAAAAAGGAATTTTCATTGGAGACTCATAGGTATGGCTCCATCTAGCAAAATTCCTTGCGAAAATGATTTGGAAACTTTCAAAGTTTTTCTTTAAAGCTTTGAACTCAAGTGTTGAAAAATGTGGAAAGAAACTAAGACGGGATTGGATTTGAAACCAGTTAACATTTTTCACTACCAATTTTGATATATGTTGCTATTAAGCGATAATAATATAAATACTTTTGGAAAAGATTCAGTAGTAGTCATTCAGATTCAGTATTCAAAAGTCTTTTTTATTAATTACTTCTTTATAACAACTTGTCCGTAGCTTATTAGTGTTACTAGTGTAGTTTTACTAATAAGTTACTCACTAATTACTAATAAGTTACTTACTAAAGATTTTTTTGTCTATCGATAAATACAAAGTTGGTATTTTTCCAAAAATACGAGCAAATGTTCAGAGAGGATGCAGAGATTCCGGTGGAGTCGGAACTCGCCAAGCTTCGTGTAGAAACTCCTACAGCACAACCTGGGGAAGAGGCCTATGTTCCAATCCAAGGATCAAATTATTAATTTGTGTCGTCCAAGGTTTCCAATGAACCAACGTCTGGATCCTAAATGGGAGATCCCTTGACGCCAAACCTGCAAGCCAGGCGGAGGTCTGAATCTGAGTGGTGATCAGAAGGCCACGAACTAAGCCTTAAACTGATTTGCTTATCTGGCTTTCATTTCTTCGAAGATACCATTTCCACTTTCATGACATTGCTTCAATTTCGTTTTTTAATTTTCCCCATTTTTTTTATTCTAATTTGCCAACTTTTGCTCCTTCCTGCCAATAACTCTGCCAATTGGAAGCCGATTATGAAATAAAGTACTGAAGATCCTCAAAAATGGCTTTGGACATCTAGCCAAAGATTGGAAAATAATTTGTCAGCTTTTTATTTCATTTAAGCTTTAACAAATACGTTTAAAATAAAGAAATAACCCAGATCACGAAATAAAATATAAACATTCATAGCTCAAACTTTTTACCCTTCAATTTAATTTAAAGTTTTAGTTTTTAACCAATTCCCAAATCGACCTTCTGTTAGCCGGCAATTGGCCGTTGACTGGATGGAGAGGGTCAACGGAATCCTTTAAAGGACGTCAATAGGCTCTAAGCGAAACTCTGCTAAGACGCTAAGATGTTTGCTTAGCTGGCAGGAGACTTTAAACTTGGGGGAATTTGCATACATTAAGGGTGCTTTGTTATTTTGTTAGCAAAAGGCAATTCAAATCCTTTTACTTCCGCTTTAGGCAGCAACGACTACGGCACAAGACAGATGCGACTGATAGCAGGATTCACATTCGCACCACCACCCACCTCCCATCGTCCTGAGCCCCGCCCACCAATCCATCCGTATTTAACGGTGACGCGTGCGTAGCGTATAAAGAAAAATATGATTACATATTGTTGTATTTTGCAAAGGCGGGAGGACCGAGGAAAAGGGTTGACATTTATTTTTATATATATTTTTCCTTCAAACACCGTGTCAGAAAGCAGAGAAGGGCCACTTGAAGGCAATCAACTCTGGATTCCTGCACAGAAATAAATTTGTTTTCCATAAAAAATATATCCAGCACTCAATAACTTTTAAAACTTGCAAGTTCATTGGCCTTCTGTAAAAATTATTCTCAGTGTAGAAAACTAACAAACAAATAGGCAACGACACGAATTTTGCCGACAACAAGGACAACAATAGCGGCATTCAATTTTTAATATTTGCCTTGCAAATTTTCTATAAAATGCATTTGTTGTCTACAGGACTGCGACCGCCCGATACCCGGTCCCGGGAGACTTGCCCGGATGCCAGGCTATGCCTATGACGAGGGGTCGGAAGAGCCGGAGACACACTATCGCCCCCAAACGGGCAACCGGAAGCCGCCAGCGCCGCGCCAAAAGTGGGAAAGTGAATGGAGCACGGCAATGTCAACACATGGAAATTGCAAGGACAACGAACAAAAAGACGAAACGGCGAAAAGGAAAGCCCAAAACGACCAGGACACCAACTATGAACTGGAATGATATTGCCACGGAGCGGAGAATGGCTTAGTCGAAGTGGTAGGAGCGTTGGGCTAGAACCCAGCCTCGTGTAAGGACGAAGGAAATAGCTGGCCCGGGCGGAAGTAATAAATTGGTAGGTAAAAAGCTTGTCGCCAACGCAGACACCGGCAAAAAGCGGCACGCGATGCCCAAGACAAGCCCGAAACTCCTACGTAGGCGAGGAGTAGAGATGCCAAAGGATACATTATTTGCCCATGAGGTTGCAAATTAATAATAAACGTCTGCAAAGCAAATTCATAATTGACTTTAAATTTGGTTTGAAGAGAAGTAGGGGAGGTTGTTATAGATATTAAACTAGTTGCTAGTAAACTCTTTCATTTAGGGTAACTATAAACCCCAAAGACAAAAATACTGTTTGATGAATGGTATATTTTTTAAAATATATTGTTGCACATCTTCTTTTTAAAGTTTTAACATATTTTTTAGTTTGCGGGTGCTGTACTATATGGGTGTTGATTATATAAGTGTGTGGCTCTGAATATTGACCATATTGAGCAGCCTTTTATATTTGAGTTGTAGACTTTTAATCTGTTTGGACTTTTTTAATAGCCACACTTGTTATCTCGGCCCCTTTCAGCTCTTCGTCGGTGGTGCCATTATAGATGTGCTTTAGATAAAGGTTGAAATAGTCCGTATAATTCATTGGCGTGGAGATCTGGTGCTTTCGAACCGGAAGTCGAGGCGAAAGGGACAGCATGCTGGCCCACTGGCCATCGCAGAGGTCATCGTACCTCAACAGACCCACCTCGTGACCCCCCAAGTCCCCGGGACCACGGCACATCGGTTGTTGTCCGTCCCAGAGCTTAAGAACAAACTCTCGAATCCACCTGGCCAGATACAGAGCTCTGCAGTCGCAATGCCAGGGGTTCTTGTCCAGCTTAACCGCCACTAATTTCTCCAGACCATGCAGGGCTCCAGTGGGTAGATACATCAGTTTGTTTGAATCAATCCGACTGAATCAGTAAATAATAATATCCAATAACTCGGAAAACAGTCATGAACTTACATCTTTTCCAACTCGGTTAGTGGTTCGAAGGCCCTAGCATCGAAGTTTTTGAGAATATTATTGTTCAGCAGGAGGACCTTAAGATGGCTCAGTCCTCGAAAATCGCCAGCCTCCAAGGTGGTCAGGTTATTTGAAAAGAGGGTCAGTCTGGTGAGGGCACTGACATTTAGAAATAGATCCGCTGGAATACTTGACATTGAGTTCTGTCCCAAAAACAATTCATTCAGATTCTTAAGCTCCAGAAACGCACTGCCATCGATCTGTGTAAGGTCCATTAGAATCAAGTGAGTTATGAAAGAAAACAATACCCACATGACTTATTCGATTCATGGTCAAATCCAAGGTTTCCAAGTTGACCAAGTTATTGAAAATGGTGCCAGAGATGGATGAGATGCGATTATTGTGCAAACTCAAAGTACAAAGATTCTGCAAGCCCGCAAAGAAGTCGTCATCAATCTTGGCTGAAAATGTATTTAATTAAATAAGAGTTTCTAATTTCCTTATTATAATCATCTTACCTATTTGATTCCATCCAAAATCCAAGGTCTTTAGCTTGGTAAGATATCGAATGCTGCCGGAATTGAGCTCCACGATTTTATTCCTGGACATATCAAGCTCTTCCAGCATTAGTTGATCTCTCAAGAGATTTGGAGGAAAGTTTGAAATTTTATTATCGCACATATTGATCACTGTGAGCCGTTGGGCATGGTAGAACATGGATTCCGGAAGGAGGCCTATCTCGTTCTTGCTTAGGTCTAGAAGATTGAGGTTGCGCAGCTTCCAAAAGGTTCGCGGGTCAATGTCCTCCAAATGGTTGTTTTGGATACGTCTGCAAGAATTATAAAATTTTAAAAAGGTTCCATTTTTACACGTTTATACAAACAAATTCAACAAACTATCCAAATCCTGGAACAAATCAAATGGCAAAAAATCAAGAACGTTGTTGGAAATATCCAGCTCCTTGAGAACCGTCAGTCCTCGAAAGGTATCCTTGTGCAGGGTGGACAAAATATTCCTAGAAAGATCTCTAATAGAAGGTAAGGTTACATCATCACCATCATTGAATTTGAATACAAATCTAGCTTACATGGTCACCATGTTCATGGGTATAACCTGGGTAACCGGCACAGATTTGAGGTTAGTGTTCCAGCAGATGAAGCTCTTGGTATCCGGATTACAGCGGCACACTCCGGACGTACAGTGATTCCACTCGATTTCGCTGCCGGTGGTCAAACGCCAGACGGGCTGCTCCACGGATCGCAAACGGCTTTCGATTTGGCGCACACGCTTCACCAGATCAAAGTTGGCCAGATGGGACATGGCGTTGACTTCTCCGCTATTAGCATCGCCGTTTGATGGACCATTTCCCTGGGGCCTTGGGGGTTTTAGGTTCGAGGCCTGGGTTCCATTGGGCATCGAATTAATAAGCATCAGGAGCTGGGAGACAATCGCCAGGGATTCGCACGCATTCAAGCTGCAGTTCCTTGTGTCCGAGGAGATCAGGGGCAGAAGATATCTCTGGCGGAACTCGTTCAGGCTCTGGGCAGTCAGATCCTTGGAGGGTGGGGCAGCTGCGGTCACCAGCGATCCATCCAACAGCAGGACAAATCCAAGTACTCCTAGGACTCCCGGCGACATGGCACCTCCAATGGCATTCGACGTTCTAAAACGACTAATCCGATGGGAGGCTGCATTTATAGCCGCTAAATTCGAATAATTTGCGAAAATTTGCATTTACTGCAATTACCCTTAAGTAGCTCACAGCGCCGCATGGCGCACATTTTGTGCCGCAGAAAAATGAAGCCCATCTTACGGTCGCCCATGCCGCATCGCACAAACCACGCTCTTCGAAATCTTAGGGGTCCGGCTGGAGACCGAAAGTCTTAGTGTAGAACATTTAGGCTTGTTGGCACGCTAAACGATCAGTTAGATACTATTCTTCAAATGTTCGGGCCTTTTCAATTTGTAATTCGACAAATTTTGAGGTTTTCGAAATTTTTTTGATCAAATACAAGTTAGCGGCTCAAAAATTTTGGAAGGTCTTTATATTAAAGATGCTTTATTATTTTTAGAGGAAGATATACAAAGAGTAGTTATTTTTATCGTGTTAGGCATAAAAAATAACAAAAAAGATTAAAATAATTGTTTTAGAACATTTTTATTCGTTGGTTTGGAACCAGGGATCAAACTCATTACCGATAGATGGCGGAAATTCTGGGATATTTACAATTTTTTTAAATTGTATATTATCTTATATTATAATATATTATATTATATTATATTATATTACATTATATAAGACTACAATTTGAAAGCGTATAATTTTTGGCGCCATCTAACGGTCGAACTTTTGAGACGCCATCTGCGTGCCAAAATTTGAAAACTTTTCCGGGATTTTAATGTTAAAATTTAACAGAATGTTGTTCAACATTTCATATTACATATTGAAAACAAAAAAATTTATTATAATTTTTTAATACTCTTTTTTTAGTGTACAAAAAAATCATTTTAAGAATATAAATTATTTAAACATTTAGAGGAGGACATGATACTTTTTTGGACGTTTTAAAAAAATAAAGAACTGAAGAATACCAGTTTTTTGACCAAAGAGTTCAAATAAATACTAAAAAATTCTTTCAATCTTACTTTATAGTAATCTCGTTTAAACATTTTTACAAAATTTATTTGTGCTGTGGTATATTTTGCAATTTTTCACTAATTTTTTATCGTCAAAAATTTTATCGAAAAACGTCAAAAATTTATCAACACTGAGAAATAAGAAATCCCACTTTGTGGGCACGGTGGGATTTTTTAAGTTTAAATTGAGCTCCTGAGCGTAGCTCACGTCCATCACGAGCGGCGTCTTCGGCGCGTCCATCGGCAGCGGCGGCTCCACCGTCATGGGCGGCGTCGTCCTCCTCGTCAATTAATTCCTCCCAGGTCATGGGAGTCATCGGCGTCTTTGGCGTCTTTGGCGCCTTCGGCGTCTTCGGCTCGTTGGTGGTAACGATAGTAACATTCTAGAAAAAAACAAATTAATTTTTAATAATTACAAAATAAACATTAAATACTTACGCAGTTCGTTATATTAAACATATTAAAATGAAAATTATATAAATAAAAATGAACTGAAAATGAAAATGTTGCAAATTTGAGCAATTTGTAATTTCGATTGCAATGACGATAATTTTGATTGGTTCCAGTTCATGAACCTTTTATCGAACGACATATGTATCTTTGATTCTTTTAATGTTTAAAAGACTAATTAATTTGAAAAATTGTTAGTACTAATTTATGAAAAATGCAAATTGATCTTAAATATATGCATGTTAATATTCAAAAATATAATAATAATTAAGAATATCAAATTAGAATATTAGAATGGGGTCTAGTCTAATATTGGCAACTCTGTACTAAATATGGCAAATACTTATTTTAGCAACCCATGTTACTAATGTCAATGTACTTACGAACATTTACTTACTTTGCAAATTTTTGTGACCATAGAGTACGTAAAATCTTTGAAAAAAATTGAATTCACAGAAGAGTTTGAAAAATGTATAGGAAAAAGAACAGCGAATCTGAGAGAGGGGTTCACCACGATTGAGAGCAATCTGCAGTTTGTAATGATGGACGATCCCTTTTTTCTAATATTTGACGAATTCCACATGAAAAATGTCAATGTAAGTATGCAAATTTTTCTATATAAAATATATATATATACAATATATTTTCAACAGAGTGCTCCTACGCATTTAAGAAATTGGAAGATCTTCGCTATAGCAGCATCCAATTTTAAAGGACATTTGCAAATTATCTATTTGCGAACAGTAAGTAATAAATAAAAACTTATTTTTTAAATGAAATTAATTTATTTTTTGTATAGGCATCAAGTGGCATGGAAAAGATGGGTTCGGCGGCAATTTTGCAAGGAGTCCAATTGGCAATAAGGAGCATAAGGAAAAACCCCGAGCTGACCTCCAAATTGGCCGGCGCTGTGGCTGACAAGTGCCCCGCCAATCTGGAGGCCATTCGTTATCTGCAGCGAAATGGGGTGCCAGTGCTGTATGACTTGAACCACTTCTGTTGAACAATGTTACGCCTGGACTATTTGGATGAAATTGCCACTCATCTATATAATGAGCCGGTATTCACGAAGTCGAATTTTGCTGAAATCCTCTTGGATTTCAAGCGGCTGGTTGAGGGAAATGTACCCTCAGCATTACATGGCCGCTACAAGAGGAGGTAAGTTTCTCAAAATAAATTAGTATAATAATATTATTAATTTTTTTTCATTACTTCTAGCGGCTTTCCCTTGAGGCCCTTCTTAAGAATTTGTTTAACAAATTCCCAACGAGATCTTTCAGCATAAGGTGGGTCAACTCCAACCACCTAGAAAGAATGGGGGCCAGGCTGGTCAACAAAATGCAATTCGGTGCCGAGGATGCATTTCTTAAACATCCGGCCCTTGCAGATCCGAATGAGGCAGTTGCCTTTATGGCAACTTTGGCAACTGTCCTCAGCCAAATAATGCACAAGGATTAAATTTTCTCGTGGCAACAAAAGGAACAAGAACTTGAGAAAAAATGCGGAAAACTCCCGAGAGAAAATCAATAAAATTCTATTATTTTGAAGCGGTGGAAAAAGCCTTAAAACTTGAGTTATTTTTTTAAATTTTATCTGAAAATGTTAATTTAATAAAATGAAAAAAATAGTATTTAAAATGAAAATTCCTTAAAATAGGAAATTCCTATTGCAAAAAAAATTTTGAAAACCAACGGCGCCGCAGCCTGCGGACCAACCACTGACCAACCAGTCCGCACTGACCAACAAATTCCCGAATCTGGTGCACAACACCTATTACCAAGACGGAGGAGCTGCTACTGTACGAAGACTGTTGACGGCAAACTTGTAAAAAAAACCCCATTATTTGCTAACAATTAGTTTTAGAAATTCAATATCATCTTCGATTTAAAGAATAGTTATGTCTGTGGTCCAATTTGCCTCCAGAAGAAATAAAACAAGGCTTAGTTTTCAAATAAAAATGGCAATTTATATTACATGTTTTACTTTAACACTTTCAAAGATACACATATAAATTTTTGTTTTACAGTTTAGTCTCAAATTAATCTCAATCTCAAATTAATTGAAATATGCAATGAAAAAATCGCCACCAAAGATATTTGTTAAAAGTGCATGATGAATTTTTTAAAATGTGGCAACATCTTCAATAATTTGTTCAGCTATCTCTTGAGATTTGAAAATAAAGACGTTAAAATATAATAATCTTTTATTCTCTTTCATGTAAGTTTCGTTTTCCCACACGTCTATCACACCGAAATTCTTGAGTTTTAAATCACCTTTACCTGCGCCTCCCATTGTTATCTGATCTTGATGTATGTCCGTGTTGTCAGTAGATTGAACTTCTCTCTTTCTACGTTTATTTAAGCTTTTCCATTTATCAGGACGAACAGGAGACACAGACACACCCAGCTCGTATCGGAATTTCGAGAGATCTTCGCCTTTTTCTATCAGTTGTTGTTGGTTTAACAACAAATCATATATCGAATTGTCATCGTCAATGAAATCGAAATTACAATGACCATTTTTAATAAAAAAATCGGCTAATTTATGAATTTCATGTTTCTGACGATGATCGAATAATTCGCAAAAGTAGTTATAACCATCTTCATAATTGTCCCATTTGACACTGAAAGTAACAGCAGTATTGTTTGTTGATATGACGACGTTAGTCCAGGCAACAGCTCGATTATTGGTTGATCGAACGTCTTTCAACGTTAAAAGCATCTTGTCTTTTGGCGACCGGGATTCTATTTTAACTGTTAGGTAATTATCCTTAAATTCATCAGTCCGTGATCCGGTAAAAGCTATTTTGTCTTTTTCGCTAACGTCAACATAGTATAATCTTTGGATTTTAGATTCTTGAGTCTTATAAGCATACTCATTTATTTCCAAGTGGTCCTCGTGGTTGTACGGTGCAACTAGTTGAGTATTCCCTACCCTATGGCTTTTTACATTCTTGAGATCCACGCGTTTGTCCCTTGGTAGCCAATTTTCTGCTAAATCGTTGATAGGATTTGGAAACAATGTCTTATCGGGTAAATTCAGTTTAATTTTTAAATTAGGACATGCGTCTGGTTGTGTTATCCAATATCGCAGACTACTTAATGACTTCATACTATTCACTTGCACTCGATGACGCTGTAAAAGCCATGTGATATCCAATTTCGTCAGATTGTAGATGAATTTATTGTATGCTTCGATTTTATCATTTTTTGCAATATTTTGAAATGGTACGTGTATTTCCTCGGAACGCTGGATCTCTTGACCTTTGTTATTTAGAAACACAATATCGGCACATTTGTCATCTCGGTAATATTTTGGCAATGAAGCGAGCAATTTATCGCGCAAGGAATTGACCTTTTCGTTATTTTTCAAGACTATTCTTTTGCATAGATCGTTCAAAATACAAATATTTATTGAAGACTCTGCACTTTGACTGACAATTACATTACACTTGTCTTGTTGCAATATCATCCGGTTTTCAATTTGTCTATCGATGAAAACATTGCCATCCTTAAAATCTTCGTCATCTGCTAAATTCAGTTCTTTTCGTGCCGCTTCATAAATAACATACGGGGAGTCAAACGATCTGTTTACTTTTACACCACTTCTTATGAAACAAAATTCGACAGACGCACAAGAATAATTGACCAGAATCAATACTACGGAAGATAGTAACGAAAGTTTAATTTCCATTGTAAAGAATTCAAGCCATACGTAATTGATGAAACTCGAAATCAAAACTGCCAACATGATCAAAGTGTCTCAAATATATATCCAGGAAATGACGCTCTCGATGCTATACATGAAAAAAACATTAACCGGGTTTCCGCTGATAGCTTTGGTATTATTCTGATAATTTTAAAAGCTATTTTCCTATTGTTTTATACTCAGTACTCGTAGAGTACGAAGGTATATTGTATTGGTGCGAATGTTTGCAATAGGAAGATGTTTTGGTTTCTTTAAATGATTTCAATGCTCACATAATTTAGGTTTTAGGCTTTCGATGCAACAAGCAAAATAACCCAAAAATGGGAATGTAACAGAAGAATCATCTCCGACCCCATAAAGTATATGTATACATTTTCTTGTTCATCATCAACAGCCAAGTCTATAAGTATGTCTGTATAAACGCGAGAATGGCATAGACTATAAAATTACATATATACGATTTTGCACGAAGACTCTTTGTATAATTCTTTTGACGCTAAAGTTTAAGGTATTTCAAAGCAATGTACCTTGTCCATTACGCCTGATTTAATGTATGTAAAATTTCAAATCTCTGAATGACAAGACCGCAGAATTCCAAAATCCGGAACGTCCAGGAGCCCCAAATATCTTATATAACATGATCGATCGGGATTGACACAGCTTTGGTGTTTTTGAAGAAAAAAGTTTGGGTCTTTCTACGATTTCTAGCTTCTTAAATTGTCATGATTATCTGGTCCTATATATCTTGTAATATAATATGCATATTAAGTGCTAGGATATGTCAACTTCGGATCCGCCAGATAAAAGCTTTGCTTTCTGGTTTTTGCGTTTTATTATACCCTCGCCAGTAGAGGCTGATTACAAATATTACTTCGTTGTATTTTATTATTAAACAAGAAAGGAAAGCTAACTTCGGGCGGACCCGAAGTTGATATACCCTTGCAGTTAAAACCGGATATATGTCGCAAACATCGGATATAGTTGGCCGATCCTTATGAGAATATGATAATATAACTCAATTTATAATAATACAAAATTTAAAACAAGTCCCAAACTTCTATCTTGTAGAATACCAAAGTTGGTATTTCTACCAAAAACCATTTCCGATCGATCAGTAATATGGCAGCTATAGGATATAGTCGGCTGATCCTTATAAATTTGGCATGTCGTATTATTTTGCCAAAAATAGCTCTCACCTTAAATTTGAATTCTCTTATTTTAAAAACACAAAAGTTATACCATTTCCGATCAATCAGTTATATGGCAGCAATAGGATATAGTCGGCCGATCCAGGCCGTTCC